TTCCCTCCCGTTTTCAGCCAGATTTTCAAATTTTAAAGGGTCCCGATTCTTTTTCTGCTCTTACTCACGGGAATTCACTCCAGATTTTCTTTTCAGGAAGAAATAGGCGCTCTCCGCTTATGGCGACGCGGCTTCACTCCGCAGGCTGGGTAGCGACTCTCAGCACCGCGCTCACTCCCGATGCCGCTCCGGAGCCTTTAAAAAGGCTCTTTCACAGTACCGGGGGGCGCAAAGGTGCCCACCGAGTCTCCTTGCTCTCAGGCTTCAGCGCCTGAGATTTTAAGGGTCCCCCGCTCGCCGTAGCGGGTAAGACCCGAACTTGCGGAGCAGTCCTTCTCTGGAGCTCGGAGGGAGGACCGCCATTAAGCGCTGGCACCGACCGGAAGTCTAACCTGAAACTGTTCTTAACCTGAAGCACCACTTTAGCTAATGGGGCCTCCTGCTGCCGCCGTGCCGCCAGAGCATGATTTCTGTTCTCATCCTGAAGCAAAGTTCTTAACCCGAGGTACTATTTCTGGGTTAGCAGAGTCTGTAACCTGAAGCGTCTGTAACCTAAGCGTCTGTAACCTGAAGCGTATGTAACCCGAGGTACCACTGCACTGGTTAACCCTCTGCAATACAGTGGTACCTCGGGTTACATATGCTTCAGGTTACATACGCTTCAGGTTACACACTCCGCTAAGCCAGAAATTGGGCTCCATGATCACTGCAGATGGTGACTGCAGCCATGAAATTAAAAGACGCTTGCTTCTTGGGAGAAAAGCAATGACAAACCTAGACAGCAACTTAAAAAGTAGAGACATCACCTTGCCAACAAAGGTCCGTATAGTTAAAACTATGGTTTTCCTAGTAGTGATGTATGGAAGTGAGAGCTGGACCATAAAGAAGGCTGATCGCTGAAGAATTGATGCTTTTGAATTATGGTGCTGGAGGAGACTCTTGAGAGTCCCATGGACTGTAAGAAGATCCAACCTCTCCATTCTGGAGGAAATCAGCCCTGAGTGCTCACTGGAAGGACAGATCCTGAAGCTGAGACTCCAATATTTTGGCCACCTCATGAGAAGAGAAGACTCCCTGGAAAAGACCCTGATGTTGGGAAAGATGGAGGGCACAAGGAGAAGGGGAAGACAGAGGACGAGATGGTTGGATAGTGTTCTCGAAGCTACCAGCATGAGTTTGACCAAATTGCGGGAGGCAGTGGAAGACAGAAGTGTCTGGCGTGCTCTGGTCCATGGGGTCACAAAGAGTCGGACACGACTAAACGACTAAACAACAACAACACCACTGAAAAACAAATCTCAGGATACGACCCTGAGTTAAGAAGTTTTAACTTCCAGTAATTTCAGCTTGAGAGTTTAGCATGTCTTTAAATCTATCCCTACTGATTTTTCTTTTTCTTTTGCAACAGTTAATAAATATGAAAAAGGGGCCCTTGGAGTGATTTAAGTAGTGAATCCTCACTATAAATACTTGCTTGTTTAGACGATGTAATTGTTCTAAGAGTGTGGCACTATAACTCAAATCTCTTATTTAAAGACATCGTCTGAACCCTTTTCAGCGCCATTAATCTTCTTCCTTGATTTGAACAACTATGGTTCAGCTTGGCTTCCGAAAAAAACAGTTTGCTCAGGATAAGTTGGTGCTTGTTCTTAATCAAGAGTCTCATTAATCTGATTAATTAGACAGGCCCTTCACTCATCCTTAAGTCTCGACAGCTGTTTCTTATCTGCTTGAGGTCTTTACAGCCCTGAAATGTAACTCCTTGCGTAAGAAACCCTTCTCATAAGACATATGTGAATACCTTGACTTCTTAGCGCGAAGCAATATCGCTAATTATGGCTCCAGTGCTGCAGAAGTGCTAAGAACCCCATCTTTACCTCTCCTGGGAAACTTGATGAATTGATGGAGCTGAACAGAGTGCTTACATTTCCCAAGCTCTGCTTTTCACAGCACTGTTTGTTTCAGTCCAAGCCAGGGCAGCACACTATAGTCCTGGTCCCCAGTCAAACTGCCCTCCCACAATCTCAATTTTGGAGTAATCGGCAAGGATTTTCTTCAGTATTTTGAAGTAATCAGCTGATAGTTTGGAAAGTTACATGCTTCTTCCCTGTGCTGTTTTGGGGAATGAAGTCCATGTTTCGAGATGGACCCCTCTTTGAAAGGGACTTCTAATTCTTTTTTCTTTTATTCAGCCTTTGCAGTGACAGCGAAAGGTGTCAAACGCTCATGACTTATACTCAAAGTTCCAGTTAGCCAGTCAATTATGCCCCCCGCTAACAGGATATTTTGTAAGCTATATGAAACGCAACAAGGGCATTCTAGTTCTCTCTCCCCATAGAGACTAAGCATGCTGAGTCCTCATTTGACTGTTTCTGCTTAGGGGGTTGTTGTTTTTAATGTGCTTTTTGCAAACCTTGGAATCCTCCTGAGCACGTCAATGCTTGCCCCCTCCCCAAACTTCTTTCTTACTGGTTACAATCCTGTCAGAACACTCCAACAGAGTTCACTATTAGGAGTGCTATGGCAAGTTTCTTCACATGATTGCTAAATGCTCCACCTCCCAGTCAAGATTTGTGGTGGCATGCAGGACCGGATTTAGGTTTTATGAGGCCCTAAGCTACTGAAGGGACGCAGGTGGCGTTGTGGGTTAAACCACAGAGCCTAGGACTTGCTGATCAGAAGGTCGGCGGTTCGATTCCCCGTGACGGGGTGAGCTCCCGTTGCTTGGTCCCTGCTCCTGCCAACCTAGCAGTTCGAAAGGACGTCAAAGTGCAAGTTGATAAATAGGTACCGCTCCGGCAGGAAGGTAAACGGCGTTTCCGTGCGCTGCTCTGGTTCGCCAGAAGCAGCTTAGCCATGCTGGCCACATGACCCGGAAGCTGTACGCCGGCTCCCTCAGTCAATAAAGCGAGATGAGCACCGCAACCCCAGAGTCGGCTACGACTGGACCTAATGGTCAGGGGTCCCTTTACCTTTACCTTTACCTAAGCTACTGAAGGTAATGGGGCCCTGTATATGTCCAGCAATCCAAATTGTTGCTGTTTTTTTTGTGTTGAATATATGCTATATGGTAATTTATGGACCTAATAGGTATCTAAAGCCATTTGCAACTAACAAAATATGTATTTTATCAAAGTAATTGTTGAACTGAAATACAATTAAGAAGTATCTTAATAGTGAAATAATTATTAAGCTCTAACTGTATGTAGGTTTTATTTTATTTGTTTTTTTTATCTTATATTTTGGAAATGTTCATCCAGTTGTTGTTTTTCCCTTTAAACTTTTTTGGGGCCCCCAAGAGAGTGGGGCCCTTAGCTATAGCTTGTTTAGCTTATATGTAAATCCGGCACTGGTGGCATGAGAGGGCGGGGGGAAATTCAGACATAGCCACTGCCCAGGAATTTATTTCTTATTTTTAAAATCTGTACTGCCCTTCATGCAAAGATCTCAGGGTGCATCACAGCATGAAAATACAAGATAAAAACACAAAAGACATAATAAAAACAAGAAGAGAAGGCAAAAATGGAACAGTAACACCCCCAAGCACATTTAAATGGATATAGGATGTTGATCAGCCAAAGGCCTGGTTGAGGAGGAATGTTTTCTCCTGGCGCCTAAAGCTGTATAATGAAAGTGCTAGGCGAGAGCATTCCACAAATAGGGAGCCACTGCAGAAAAGGCCCTTCTCGTGTTGCTGCCCTCCAGACCTCTTGTGGAGGAGGCACACGAAGAAGGGCCTCAGATGATGATTGTGGGGTCCAGGTAGATTCATATGGGGAGAGGCGGTCCTCCACCCAACTCTTGTTTTGTGTGCCACACATTATGGACCACAGGCCTACAAAGGACAGCAAGTTGTTTCCTAGAGGGGCCAACCAGAGGACTATGGGAAGCCCGCAACAGGACATAAGCAGTCAACAGCCAGCAAGCATGGCCGCTGCATGTTGTTGCAGGAAATTCCTCTCTCTGGGGCAGGAAAATTGCCACCATAACCAAAACCGGGCTTTCAAAGAGGAGCTCTTTCTATCTGTACTGGTTTCTTCCAGGCATGTCCAGCTCCCTCGTTGACACCCAGAAAATATGCTCTCCCCTCTGCAAACGCCGTCAGGTGACTCCACAGTGAGCAAGAACAAACACGGAGGTGAGTAATGAACCAGACCAAGTCAGCAGATAATCGTCAAGTGATTCAGCTCCGTCGCTGAAAGTTCTTACGCAACCACCTTTTCTAGCGCCGGGAGAGCAAAGAATGCGCGGCGGCTGCCAGCGCGAAACCCGAACTATAGTACCGCTCCTGTCCACACGTTAACACCCTTTGCTTTTAAGGAGTTGACTTACTCCAGACCCAGGACAAAGCAATCCCTATTGTTTGCGAGCGCTCACAATAATATTGAGGAGTTTGTAAGTGCTTTTCAGTGCTCGAAGTGCTTTGCACAGATGATCTCCGTAATCTTTACAACCGCTCTTTAAAGGCGGGTCAGCATTACTGTTCCCACACTGCAGAGTAGGCTGTGGCAAGGAGATGATGGCATTCCAAAGGCTACTCAGTGAGTGCAGGCTTGAGGTGAAATGTGAGCTTTGTTGCTCATAGTTCACACTTAGCCTCTACGTTATACTTAACGCCAGATGCACACACAATTTCTCTCTCACACACATTGGTGGAAATGAATATTTTGCTATTTTCCCCAGTGAAAGGCCTGTTTCAGCACCACAAAGTGATGAACCCAAAGCTCGGTGCCCGTACTTCAAAGTCCAATATTTCATTTCACTTCAGCCAGGGCGATACAATGGTTAGGATGCTGGATCAGGAGGGACCTGGGTTCAAATCCTACTAAGGCTAAGAACCAGCCTTGCCAACCTCACAGGTTTGTTGTGAGGGCAAAACCGGGGGGTGGAGGGAAAGAGGATAGTGTGTGCCACTCTGAGCTCTTGGGTGGGAGAGTGGCATAAAAAAAACAATAATACATAAATCAAAAGGAGCAGTCATGCGATGATTGATGCCTTACCGTTAAAGACAGGGCCATGCAAACAAAGGTGAACTTCTTGATATGAGTTGCTGTGACGGTGCTGCTGGTATTCACCAATTTATTGCTGGGGTTATTCTAGGGTGAAAAGGGAGAGAAAAACAGGCATTAGCCTTCTAGACATGCGGCAAAAAGCAGCAATGAGGCTGCAATCTGAAACCCACTTTCATGCGGCTAAGCTCTATTGATTTCAGTGGGGTTTACTTCTGTACAAGCATGCAGAGGGTTGTGGTGTGAATTGTAGAAAACAGCTGGTTTCCTGGAGCATCAGCTTTTCCTAGGCAATAAACTAGGAACATCTCATTAGCTGGCTTTTGCTTACAGAATGAATAACGTGGTCCCCAAATGCTATTGTGTTTGTAGCATGAAGGAGCAGAGGAAAAACCTGGCTGAAATTCTGATTATTGCATACTGCCACAATCTGAATATCTGAATAATATTGAATACTGGCAACAATCCAGTGGTGCTGCTCTGTAGGTACTTGCAGAGCTCTATAATTACTGGGAATTGAAATGAAAGGCATCTTATATGCTTGCATTTGCCATAGTCCACACTGAGGAACCTACACACATGCAGGTCTCTGGATCTTAGCTGTGGGCTGCATCACAGGCATTTGGCAAGCGACAAGCAAATGAGGTTTGCATTTTAGATATTAAAGTGCAAGCTTGGGTTTTTGCAGTGCCATAAACAATAATACAGACAGAGTAGACTTGTGGTTTGGTTGGTCGTAGTCAAATGGGCGCAGCTTCGAAACAGGATTTTTACAAGGGACGGCAGGATATATTTCCATGTCAACAACCACAGTGCAGATTGGCTCAGAGTTCATTAACTTGCTCTGTTTGTCCAAAATCTGAACTTCCTAGCTCTTAACGGGAGTTTAAACAAGCAATCCTTGTGGTCTGAAGCAGGAAGAATGCTAATGCAGATGCTGATCACACTGCAAGCTTGTTTTTTTCCTTTTTTCCTTTTCTGTTTAAATAAATATATTGCTCCAGGAATACAGCTCGGTACAAGCTGATCCAAATCACTGTGGCAGCTCCTGAGTCATTACACCCCCAATTAGCAAAGGAAGCAACCTACAGAAACAGCCCCGAACACCTGGCTCCTTTTCACTCTAATGATCTGTACACAAGTTAAGGGATTCGATGTTCTGTCCTGCCCAGAGATTCCACGTATCGCTATGCAAACATCAAACCCCGTCTCCTTCCCCAGAGCCCACCCTCAATCTACATGTGCAGATGTCGTTTCCGTAAACAGCAAAAAGCAGAATGTAGCTGAAGTCGTGGAATCTTCAACAGGATCTGTCAATGAAGAACTACAGCTAAAAGGCACAGAAGGAGTAAGAAATTTCAAGTGTGCTACTGAAATCTTCCTTACTCACCACTTCCTCGTTCTTTTCATCCAAACAATGAGTCTCGTAGATTAGGAAAAAAGAGGGACCAATAGGTATATAAAGGCTGCATACACAGCATACGTTGAAAAGCACATTGTTTTCCCCAAATCATCTTCTCAGCGCACTTATCTAACTATAGCTCCCAGGGTCCTTTGCAGGAATATGCGAACACTTTGCTTTAAATAAATGTATGCTCTGGGCCCTGTGAGAAACTTCCTTATTGAAAGTTGGCTTTCTGACCCTTAAGCAACCATGGACATGTTCCTTGCCGATGCCCAAGGAACACAACAGGGGAATCTCAGTCACTCATGGCTGGCTTATGTAAGTGGAGGTGTTAGCATTCAGGGACATACTGCGGGTAGGGAGGCAGGGAGAGATGCATGCCAATCAGGAAACAGCTTGGAGCTGGAGAGCAAGGAGTTGAAGGGCCACCCTCCAACCTGTTCTTCATCCAAGCTTCTGCCAGGTTGAGACTAGCTCAATGTTTTTTGGGCTTCCCATGCACAATGAGACACTGGTGCTCCCGATGACATCAAAGAAGATCCTGGGGCATATTCTTAATTAGCACAGGGAACTGGCCGTGCTAACATTCGATTCTGGAGGGGTGGTGGGCTCCTGGCATAAACTGGGGGGGTGTCCTGAAATGCCCCACAATTATCAGAAGCTTTCTTAATTACTTTCAGAGCAAGGTAAAGGTAAAAGTAAAGGACCCCCGGACGGTTAAGTCCAGTCAAAGGCGGCTATGGTGTTGCAGCACTCATCTCGCTTTCAGCCCGAGGGAGCTGGTGTTTGTCCACAGACAGCTTTCTGGGTCATGTGGCCAGTGCAACAGAATACTGTGACGGAAGCCAGAGTGCACAGAAACACTGTTTACCTTCCCACCGGAGCGGTACCTATTGATCTACTTGCACTGGCGTGCTTTCGAGCTGCTGGTTTGGCAGGACCTGGGTCAAAGCAACGGGAGCTCACCCCATTGAGGGATTTGAACTGCCAACCTTCTGATCGGCAAGCCCAAGAGCCTCAGTGGTTTAGACCACAGTGCCACCCGTGTCCCCACCTTCAGAGCACACATCCAGGGGCTTTCACATCCAGGTAATCTTTTGGTGCCTCGTGCAAGGCCAAAATTTGGTGCCCCCAAATGGATCTTCTGAATTTTGTACCCCCTCAGCTCAGCCTGCACTGCCCTACATCCTGCGCTGACACATGCAAGTAGCATCAGTTTGGAGTTGCACACTGTTTCCAGCATGGGGCTGTCGCCGGAATTGTGCTTTCCAACTCCCAATGGCCAACAATTCCCTGTGATAATTCTCCCTGCAGAAAGAAACCAGCTGGGGGACTTCATCTTCTGGCCATTACAGAAATCCAACAGGCCCAAGAGATGGAGGTGCCGAACTTACAGATAGACAGATGGGTAAAACTCATCAACAGTATTTTATAGAATGGAAGAAGTGTAGCATTACACAGCGTAACAGCAACAACAAAACTACCTTGAAGTTTCCTAGAATCTAGGAATCTGACTCATTTTCTATACGCTTCACACGCTTATAAAACTGACACTTGGCAAGGATGCATCTGGAAGAGAGGCGAAGGGTTTGCTCTCATCAAAGAAAACAAGCTCACCTTGTCAAAAGCAGGATAAACAGCTCGAATTTCTGTCAACCAGCCATATGGCATGTGCCCTACTGGATATGTAGCTGTCAGAATTGCCACCGCCTATAGCAGAGGAGAGGGGAGAGAGAACATTACAGGTCAAATCTTTGGAAAAACTCATAAGGGTTGCCTCTCGCTCAAGATTCACATAATCCTATGAGTTACACCAGTAACATTTTAGATGGTCAAGCAAGAAAATGGTTCTTGCACAGTAGAGATTAAAAAAAAGTAGCTTATGAACACACATACACTCGTGTTTCTTCTTTATTTATTGTTCCCTTTCCATGATAAAATAATAATGGTCTTGGTGTGCCATCTTAAGACTGAATGAAATATAAAGCATTTCCTTTGTATGTTAATAAACGTTAATAGAGATGGTTGGTTTTTTTTTTAAAAAAAAGGAATAGGGTGAGCTCTCATCAGTATTATACTTAGATATTAATCCTAAAACCAGAAAAGGAGGGAAACAATTTGAGACCATTTTTAGCTCAGCTCTCTGCCTTCACCAAGATTACTTGGTTAACCATGGTTAGCTTCAAACCAAAATTTGCAGCCAGCATCATTAAACGGCTTGCAAAGCCTGGTTAAAGCTATTTGTTTGTTTAAAACACTTCTTTACCGCCCTTCATTGAAGCTGGTTCCAGGTGGTTTACACAACTGTGGCCACAGAAATGAAAATGTGCAATTAAAAACAAAAGCAAGTAGAGCCCTGTTCAGATGTGAGGGGTGGGTGTGGCTGAGGGTGACTTAAATATGCGAGAAAGGGCGGGGAGAGAGCGCTGTTAGCTCTGCCCCCTCTGGCACATCACTATCCCTGAGTTTGAAGTCCTCCACGAATTTGAGGATGGAGTTCTGAAGCAGGAAGAAACAATCTCATCCAATATGGGGTGTTATGCAGTTAGGTCTGTAAAGTGCAGAGGAAGCCCCTGCTTCAAACTTGTCCTCAAACTCTAAAACATAGCTGTCAACTTTTCCCTTTTCTTGCGAGGAATCCTATTCAGCATAAGAGAATTTCCCTTTAAAAAAGGGAAAAGTTGACAGCTATGCTCTAAAAGTGATAATGGTCTTGAATATGAGGGGGCACAGCCTAGCGGTATGGCCACACTGCCTCATGCCTGCTTGCTTAAAGGTAAAGGTACCCCTGAAAGTTAAGTCCAGTTATTAACGACTCTGGGGTTGCGGCGCTCATCTCACTTTACAGGCCGAGGGAGCCAGCGTTTGTCCGCTCTGCACAGTTTTTCCGGGTCATGCGGCCCGCATGACTAAGCTGCTTCTGGTGCAACTGAACACTGACACCAGAGCAGCGCACAGAAATGCCATTTACCTTTCCGCCAGAGTGGTACTTATTCATCTACTTGCACTTTTTTATGTGCTTTCGAACTGCTAGGTTGGCAGGAGCTGGGACTGAGCAACGGAAGCTCACCCCGTTGTGGGGATTCGAACTGCTGACCTTTTGATCAGCAAGCCCAAGCCTCAGTAGTTTAGACCACAGTGCCACCCATGTCCCACCTGGTTGCTTACACACGAGCAAAAAGAGTGCTTGCATTGTGCTTAGCAGAGATAATCAACAAAATCTAATTGATTTACAATTGCGTTTGCGGTATAATCATGTCTGGAGTCTGGCGGCATCTGAGAAAGCAACACACAATTTAGAAGTCTCAAAAGGATCTGAAGACCCAGCCCATTACTACCCTGTTAGGTGGGAGTTTATTGCTTATGCTCCTGCAAATGATCTGCAAAGGTCTTTGACTATAAGCAGAGCATGAAACTGGGACCTCATCACTGTGATTTATTTAAAAAATGCACTCCTCTACTGATGTTGTTGCACTGTTAATACTAGATGAGTGGCTTTGTAATGTGACACTGAAAACAATTATTCTTTGATGAATTCTCCCCAATTGCATGTGTTGTTATGCTCCTGTTTGTTTTAAAAGGTAAAGGTAAAGGTACCCCTGCCCGTACGGGCTAGTCTTGCCAGACTCTAGGGTTGTGCGCCCATCTCACTCTATAGGCCGTGGGCCAGCGCTGTCCGGAGACACTTCCGGGTCACGTGGCCAGCGTGACATCGCTGCTCTGGCGAGCCAGAGCCGCACACGGAAACGCCGTTTACCTTCCCGCTTGTAAGCGGTCCCTATTTATCTACTTGCACCCGGGGGTGCTTTCGAACTGCTAGGTTGGCAGGCGCTGGGACCGAACGACGGGAGCGCACCCCGCCGCGGGGATTCGAACCGCCGACCTTTCGATCGGCAAGCCCTAGGCGCTGAGGCTTTTACCCACAGCGCCACCCGCGTCCCCTCCTGTTTGTTTTAGAATTCAATAAATAAAGAATTATTTTTAAATGCCCAGAACTTAAAAGCTTGAGAAAATAGAAAATAGTTTTGCCTGCTGCTCAAAAGATAGCCGTGTTGGCACTAGGAGACAGGCCATATTTATGAATTATGGTTCATAGCACAAGTACTGTTGCAGAGCGAACACTGAACAGTGGCTAGCATCAAAAAATGAGGGGGCTTTGCACAGAATTATGCTCAGGGAGAATGAGCTCATGGCATATTTCCAATTTTCTAACCATGGTTAGAAGATTACATCTGTACTTGGCCAAATCTAAGCCAAATACAGCACCTGACCAAAAAATCCAGGAACAAAGTAAAACATGCACACTCATTATTTTTCATAGAGTTCCTTCTTTTCTCATCCTGCCAAAATCAAGGGCTACTGGCAGCGCCATGTACAGAAATTTGCAGTACACTCAGCTTGTGTGCTGGCAGGCTTATCCGATTGTTGGCTCTGCCAGCGCTTTCTCTTTCAGTAGTGATGCTTTCAGAAACGGAAGCGAAAAGAACAAATAGACAATAGGCACTAATGAAGTCAGCTATCAGCTGATAGATAATATGAGAAGTATTTGCTTTCGAGTGAATGCATTCTTTGCACTTAGCAACTGAAACCACGTTAAAGTGGTATGCTTAAAATATTAATCGCACAAACATTTCGGGCAGTAACTGGGAAATGTGCAATTAAGTATTTCCAGGTGCCTGAACTCTGAAGTTCAACTACATGATACAATTCTATATACTTCCTCTTATTCTACTTTAAATCACAAGCAGAAATATACACAAAAGACCGTCACCTTAATGTTTATTAAGTTGTCAGGAATATAATCCTATAATAAGGGTTGCGCATATTTGATGATTCTGCAAGTGTGTGGAATTTAGCAGTGAGGGGAAATATACTAAGAATCTGAGCTTTTTTTTAAAAAAAAAAATCTTTCCAGCTCCTATGGGCTGCAATGATAGGTTTCCAAACATCTGGGCAATATCTGGTAAAATCTTACCCCCTCCCTTGCATGTACACTCTGCAATATGTGAGCCACTGAAGTATGGTACGGTTATATTCATTCATTCGTTTGTTTGTTTGTAAAGTGCCTAAAATTACTATATGCAGTATAAAAGAGTCAACACGATACAGGCACCTTGCTCACAGCTTGGCCACGTGGGAGGGACCAATAATATTGACTTGCCTGCAGAATTAACACCTTCGGGGTTTTTCGTTTTTCATAAAAGAGTCCTGTGCAATTAACCCAGCCCATGTAGTCGTGCTATTCCCATTTATGCCCATGGGATCGTGCCATATTGAAGAAGCTCCAGTGGTTTAGGGTATGCATACAGAGAGGTCTCAGAATTTGGGGAGGAGGGTTTTTGTAACATTTTTGGCCAGGTATTACATCTAAATGTTCCTTGCAGAAGCTGAAAGGCACTTACACTTGCACTAGAGGAGAGTATGCTTTTTCCCTCCACTGACAGTCCGCCATATTTTGAAACATGCCGTTCCCGAACGTCAGTATACCCTCGGAACCAGCAACACAGATGGCATTGGGTGATGTGGCAGGAAGCAGAAGACGACAGTTCTGTAAGTGCAACACCACTCACAGTTCTCTGAATCTCGCCCAATAACGTTGCTCACACAAGAGATGAGTCAGCGAAGAATCAGACTCTAAATGAGTGTCTTTGTTTTGCTTTCTGAGTTACCAAATACTCTGTTGAAGATCTGAGAAACCGGGGGGAAACAGTGATGCTCGGCTAATGGCCAAAGAAAATATGGACAGAACTCTGTTTCTCTCTTCCTTCATGTTTTAAAATAATAATAAAAAAATCAGACTCAAATGGCAGTAGTGGGCAGGACAGAATGAGGTTTCCTTTTTTCTATCCATGGGGAAAGAGATATGGGGTCCGTGTATTTTGTTTGGTGAAAAATGTCTGGAGGGGGAAGGGTTGAGCAGCCACGATCCACTTTCACTTCCTTCCCTCAGGACAGCAGTTGGCTGAGGCTGCTTACGTTTCCAAAAGTAAAAACGCTGAGGAAAAATAATATAGAAGTCCATGTAGCATCTAGTTTGGCCCTTAGGTCATGACAGGGGGTGAAAGAAAATGCTATAGTTTCAGAAGCGGTTGGGAAAGATGCTCAGACTTAGGGGGGAAAACTTCACGTAAATGCCTGCAGGTTTCAACCCTGGGGAAGTTGACATTTAACAACAGCAGAATGAATTCCTAAAGAACCAGGAAAACAGAGACAACTGGAGAGGGAACTGGGTCTTCTACTTTTCTGAATAAATACAGGGAAATCAAGGACTCTTACCTCTGTAGCTGCAGAGCTGCCACCCAGATCTCGGGATACGAAGAGGTTGACGATTGGCCGGCTGATTCTCTGAGTAGCCAAAATTAACGCCAAAGGCCACCAGAAGCTGAGCATCTTTTTTATTGTAGCATCTCCCTGCGGGTAAAATGAGAAAATGCAGTCCTTGTGAACGACAGCACCTGAATGCAGCCAACAGAATAGCTAAAGAATCTCCTTTTCAAATGTTGGATATGGTATGTGTAAGCAGAAAGAGGAGCAAGAAAACACGTAAGCATGCATATATCACCAGCCAGTAAGTTAAAAGGAAGATATAGATTTTAGACTACCGTATTATTCGCTCAATAAGACGCACCAGACCACAAGGCGCACCTAGTTTTTGGAGGAGGAAAGCAAGAAAAAAATATTCTGAATCTCAGAAGCCAGAACAGCAAGAGGGATCGCTGCGCAGTGAAAGCAGCAATCCCTCTTGCTGTTCTGGCTTCTGGGATAGCTGTGCAGCCTGCATTCACTCCATAAGACTCACACGCATTTCCCCATACTTTTTAGGAGGGAAAAAGTGAGTCTTATAGAGCAAAAAATACGGTATGTGATTTGGATTATTGCAGCAGTGGGCTTTCAATTCCTGAGAAAAAGTGTTCTGGCACCTAACAAAAATACTATCTGCAACTATGGATTTAAGAAGTGCCATATTTTTTAATGTTTTTAAATCCATTCTGATATACACTCCTGCAAGGAAGCATTCGTAAAGGTATGTGGCTTTGAGCGACTCAGAAATGGTCCTGCAACTATCTGTGTATTTCCTTGGCTCTATGCTAATCATGCTGACATCTTAAAATAACAGCACAGAAAGAAATGTGGTGGGGGGTTTTTCTAAATCCAGTACTGAACTTCACTACACTGAAGAAAATACTGTGATTACAAGAAATGGCCAAGAGAGACGCTATGGCAAGAGGACTGCAATCAGCAGAGAGAAGGCAGCAACATAAATGCAAATATATTTTGTATAAAATATCAGGGCATCGTCACAGCTTCCATATATCGAAGGATGTAAGAGAAGTACGTTAAACTGGCAATTAATTGCTGCCAAGTAATGAGTATAGCATTGTGGTGGAGGTTACCCTTAGCACAAATATAGAAGTAATAATAATAATCATCATCATCATCATCATCATCATCATCATCAGTGTGTTTTTTGGGTATAAAAGGAGTGCCGGTATTCGTTTATACAGTGGTACCTCGGGTTAAGTACTTCATTCATTCCGGAGGTCCGCTCTTAACCTGAAACTGTTCTTAACCTGAAGCACCACTTTAGCTTATGGGGCCTCTCGCTGCTGCTGCGCCGCCGGAGCACGATTTCTGTTCTTATCCTGAAGCAAAGTTCTTAACCTGAAGCACTATTTCTGGGCTAGCAGAGTCTGTAACCTGAAGCGTATGTAACCCAAGGTACCACTGTAAATGAAGTTTATAACCTTAGCAACCCCTTAGCGGGGTGCATTGTAAGCCTGTTAAGCAGCAATTAAACTGCCAATTAACAATTAGCAATTAACAATCACTTTCAAAAGCTTCCCCCTTTTGTCTAGCAAATGGAGACAGTTGTTTTGGAGTTCTGGTCTTTCACATGATACAAGTATATGCGGGCAGATGAGCAAGTAGTTTAAAGTAAATAGGGCCAATGATTTCTTTCATTCTGTTTTGCAATCCTGGTGTACTGAATGTAATCATATAGGAAGATTGACAAATGCATCAAAACATACCCCCATCTCTGGCCCGCTACTGTCCGGAATAATATCATGTATGTTTCTGTAGTAGCCCAGGCATAAGGTGGTACATCGGACAAGGGCTCCCATGTACAACGACAAGATAGGGATGAGGAGGGGCTCTCTGCACTCCAAATGACTGTGGAGCAAAATGGCTACGAAAACAACCTGTCAAGAGAAAGAGAAAGAAAGACTGGTTATGAAAACAAGATTCTGAATTCTGATGTGAAAACTAAATAGTTTCGGACACAGTCATAGTGTTCAGAACATAATGCAATTCTTCATTATTATTCAGAGGTCTTTGCTGGAAATGCATGTTCAGTTCCGGAAATTCTCTGGTCCTCTAATTTCAAGAAACTACTTATTTTGATTTTCTATTATAAATATGTAAGAGAAGCTTCTGAGTCTGAACCCCCCCCCCAATAAACTTGTCTGAAGAAGCCAACGATTTCATTAATTTGAGAGGAGGCTGTTTTCTTTAGATGTTAGGAGCTTATTCATCAAGGGCTATGGGTATGGCTAGAAGGCCCAAGATTATTATTTTTTAAAAGAAATATAGAGATAAAGGGTATCTATAATAAGATTGTATTATGTATATGCAGTTTGAGGGAGAAAATGAATGGAATTCAAGTGGCCTTGAACAATATGTTCCAACGAAGTATATAATACATGTCATCTAGTAGCATGCATCACTTAAAAAATACTACACAGAGAAATCAAATGACAAACACAGTGAAATCCAATAGCAAAAAGCTAAATATTGAACGTGTTTATACCATTAGGCTGATTTAATGTAAAAAATCAAAGAACAACAGGGGCGATATTCAACGAAGTCATACTTAAACCAGGCCCAATGAAATCAATGAACTTAAAATCTCAATGGGTCTACTTCGAGTAGAACTTGGGTATCGCCCAGTACCATTGAGGTGGGAAAATAACTTCAACCTCTGAGAGGTCACCTTCAAAAAAGCATGAGAGATGTGGTACACACACAATGCTTACTATGCTAAAACAGAAGAGATTCATATTTGGGAAAGGATACCTATAGCAATACTAAACAATGATAAGTGGTTTCTAGTGTTCAAAGAAATTTACAAGTATTGTTTCTGTAATCCTTACAATATTTGTATAGCATAGGTCAGTATTCTTATCCTCATATTGCAGATAATAATAATGGGAGGCTGAAGGAAAAGGATCACATTAATTAAGGTATCTAGTGAGTTAATGGGGTAAGTTTTGAATCAGCAGAATGTCTACGCTCCTAGCGGAACTATTTTGTAACTACATTGCATTGGTAGATGTGATTAATTTAAATCTGAGTATCCTAAGTCCTAGCCGAGGGTTGCCATACATCTGGACATAGCTGGGATTTGAAAATGGCGTCTGGGTGGAATTTTCGGAAATCAGTTTAAAAGCTGGTGGCAGCTCATATTGGCAGTGTTAACTTTGTGGCTGTTTTCATTAAAAAAAATAGTTTTAAAACTTTTTATTTTTATTTTTTTTTAGATTTTGCAGAAGTTCAACGACTTTTGTGCCCAGATTTTCACTTTTTGAAATATGGTGACCCTATGCTAGCCTCTATACCACCCTGGGCAAATTAGGTGTCAGACAAACTTACTGTTTAAAAATATGCCTAAACAGCCTCACTTAGCTATGAAGCTGAAGCCAATTGCTCTCTCAAACACCACACAATTGTTGTGAGGACAACATGGTGCGGAAAAACCATGTATTTCACCTTTTGCTCTTTCAGGTAGAAGGCCAAGAGAGCTAATTAGTCAAAGTGGGGCATAGATTAATTTTAACAATTAAATTCAAAAGGCTGGAGAAATCAAGTCATAATCAAAATGGTCCTTTCTTTTGCACTGAAATAATTCCTTCCAATAGAGAGTTCTTCCCTTTTGCATTTCCTCCAATTCCTTGAATTAATAACAGTCATACTCAAACTCTAAAACTCCATCTAGGAAATATGAAACAGCTCACTTTTGCAGCAATTTTAACTTATGGACCTTATGCTATCCTTCTTAATTTCCAGGTGTCTTTAAGGAACCCCGACAGCCCTGGGTTTGTGAACAACAGTGCTGAAAATGTATTTGCCTATAAGTGGCTGGAGTTTAATAGAGTTTAAATGGGAATATACTGTAGCCAATGGCACACTCTTTCTCTGGTCACTTAAGTTTTCCATGTGTCTATATTTAATGCACCTGCTGGCATTAACTGGTGTGAAGTATCATCGTGAATTATGCTAAGGACAGAATAATTTTTGATTTGGACTGCAAAGAAGGAAACGTGACCATTTTCTTTAGGGAACTTTTAAAATGTTCTGAAAGAGAACTCACACCAACATTTTTAAGGAATTCCCATTTCCGAATGCTATAACTTGCGCTTTTAGCACAAAGGATGCTTCTACAACGTCTACTTTACCGCACGAAAGTTGACAGAGAAAATTTATCTGTTGTGACTTTTCTATCCAAAAGCAATTGTGTGAACTGGCTCAGAGGGAAAGGAAGAACGCCAAAGTATAGCATAAGCACAAAGACAGTCAAAATTGGATTTAATAACATCTATTCCGCAGCTGTCTAATGCACAGCAGATTAATTCATAGTGGCTATAATGACATGAGCAGGAAGTAGATTAGCTAGATCCAGCTATTCAGCAACACAATAATAATTATTATCAGAAAAAATGTACCACTATATTATCGAGAAATGCGACCCAACTCGCAATAATTGAGATGATTTAACATGTCTTTAGTGTCAACACTTCAGTCCCCATGTCAGCAAGCAGAACTATTTCCACTCCATTTCAAAAGGGTCCTAGATAGATGATTGATAGATGATAGATAGATAGATAGATAGATAGATAGATATAGATAATCTTGCAAAGACTGTTCTAAGTACGGTTATCGTACAAATTTGGCACGGCTCTTTCTGCAACAGAAATAGTCGTGACATAAATAAATCCTTACCTGAGCAATGACGTCTGAAATGGAGGCACATCCAACCAGGAAACTGTATTTGTGTTTCAGAAGAATACCTGCGTGGGTCCAAGCCTGAAGAGAACAGAAGAGTGAGTGAGATCTACAAACTCAGGCAATGGGTCTTCTCCTGCTTCTCCTTTCCCCTGCAACTCCTGGCTCACCCTCCAAACCTGCTCCAGAAGGTTGAGGGGCTCTCTGAAGAAGCAGACCGTATGGAGAATAAGAGAAACTGGAAATATCATTGGGCAAGACCAGGCAGACATTTGCCTGGTCTGGACATCATGAAAAGCTGAACTATGGCTTAAGTTTCTGGGCTCAATTCAAAGTGCTGGCACTGACCTATAAAGTCTTACACAGGACCTCAATACCTTAAGGACTGCCTCTCCCCATTCAAACCGACCTTGTCATCCGAGGCCCTTCTCTACGTCCCAACTCCCTGAGAGGTTCCGAGGGTGACAACATGAGAACGGGCCTTTTCTGTGGTGGCTCCCCTCCTGTGAAATGCTGTCCCTGGAGAGGCTTGTCTGGTGCCATCATTACATATCTTTAGGGATCAGGCGAAAACATTCCTCTTTACCCAGGCCTCCGGCCGTTAAATAATCTATGGCTTGATAAATTTGCGGCAGAGGTTGTTATTATTATGATTGTTTTATTATCATGCTGTATATTATTGTGTTGTGTATTATGTTTTTACTATTAAAGGTAAAGGGACGCCCGACCATTAGGTCCAGTCGTGGCCGACTCTGGGGTTGCAGCGCTCATCTCGCTTTGTTGGCCGAGGGAGCCGGCGTACAGCTTCAGGGTCATGTGGCCAGCATGAGTAAGCCGCTTCTGGCGAACGAGAGCAGCACACGAAACCGCCGTTTACCTTCCTGCCGGAGCGGTACCTATTTATCTACTTGCACTTTGATGTGCTTTCAAACTGCTAGGTTGGCAGGAGCAGGGACTGAGCAACGGGAGCTCACCCAGTCGTGGGGATTCGAACCGCCGACCTTCTGATCGGCAAGTCCTAGGCTCTGTGGTTTAGACCACAGCGCCACCTGCGTCCCTTTATGTTTTTACTATTATGCTGTGTAAATTAGGTTCTTAATGTTGCACACTGCCCTGGGATCTTTGGTTAAAGCGTGGTATAGAAGAAAGAAAGAAAGAAAGATTAGATAGATAGATAGATAGATAGATAGATAGATAGATGATAGATAGATAGATAGATAGATAGATAGATAGATAGATAGATGATAGATAGATAGATAGATAGATAGATGATAGATGATAGATAGATAGATAGATAGATATAGATAGATGATAGATAGAAAGATAGATAGATAGCATAAGAGCTGCCAGAGGAGTTCACATCCACTTTCCCCCCTTCTGCTTTTCTCCTCCCTAGTCCTTTGTTCTGCCATGCTAAACCAATAAAAGATGTCATGGGTTAGATCCCCATATTCCTGCATTGGAGGGTTGGACCAGATGAGCCATGGGGTCCCTACTAATTCTATGATTCTAAGATTTGGCTTAGAGTGCAATCCAGACCAGGGCTTCTGGTTAAAATCTCTCCTCGCTAACCTTGGTTACAAGCTTGCTTGCTATGAGCGAGGAGATAGCTTAACCACAAACCCCATTTTGGACAGCAGACTAAGTTAAACCTTGGCTTGGCTTGGCTTAGTAAGGCATGCCATGGCAAAGCCGGTTGTGAAATCTATGCGCATAGACCTCAATGGAGCTGAAACCCTGATCACACAGGGTTTTGGCTCCTATGGAGCACGTAAGTTTCTCCTGCTCGGACTTCCGCGTCTAATGTGCAGCCGGATGATGTTCCTTTGTGGACAAAAGCCCTTCATGCTCACAGGTGCAGTTAAAAGAGCACAAATATGCGACGTTGCACAAAGGGGGAACACGATGACAAAGGATTGCCAACGAGGGGGTGAGATGAAAAAGTGCACGCATGCAAAGGGGAAATCTGAAACAGTTACAATAAAGATTATAAAAATAGCAGCTGGAAACAACAAAACCAGGTCAGGTGAAAAGGCTGGGAGGGAGAAATAGATATGTTTTGACTAACTGCTTTAATCCCAAACCTGAAGTAGCTGAGATTTCAGCAGTCGTTTGCATTTGGAGGTTTTGAATTTGCTTTTTCCTCTCTGAGGAATAAACTACTGTATCTTTTTTAAAAAATAGAATGTATCTTTTAAAAGAAACATTAAGTATCTTGCTAACCGCTCACACCTAATAACCACTTGCCAAAGAAGTGACAGAAAAATTATTTATTTTTCTAAAATATTTAGAAATGAAATTGAGACTGCATAGTCAGAGGCGCAGTTCAGATATCACACTAAACCATAGTTTAAAATGTGCTGATCGTGCTGCTCAAAAGTTCCTCCCCTGCTCCTAACCGCTGCCATGCCACAGACTAAACAAGCCACAGTCTGGCTTGCTGTGCCATCCAAACCCGAGCTCATGGCTTGCTTCCTGCAAACAAATCATGAGCGATAAACCAAGGACAAACTTTGACTACTGTTCATGGTTTGCTTGGAGAGAAACAAACCACAAGCCTGGGTTTGAATGACACAGCAAGCCAGACTCCGGCTCGTTTTGTCTGTGGGTAAGGAGCGCCAGGAGAACTTTTGAGCAGCGTGCAACCAGTGTTAGAAACTCAGGTCTATAAGCTAGGCGCCAAAAGGCTCATTAAACCAGGGTCACAGTCTCCAAAACGGAATGCCTAGTTGCCATTTTGGGGCCAGACAGCTCAAAAGTCAGATTTTTCAGTGTGAATTATTGGTTCCTGAAGTTCATTCCAATTGATAGAATTCTACAGGGTTGGCACCCCAGGCACCTTCACTTGGTCTCAAGTGGCCAATAGCCAGGTGCAAAATGCGCCTGGGACATTTTGGGTGTGGGTGTGGGTGTATAATAAGTTTTGATGGATGTAACAATGGATTACTGAATGGTTTAGTTGATGTAAAATATGCAGGGATGTATGTTATGCAAAATGAACCACGGAAGGAGAAGGGTGTGTGTGTGTGTGTGTGTGTGTGTGTGTGTGTGTGTGTGTGTGTATTCTAATTACATTTCAAAATATTCATTTAAACAACCTTAAATCAATTACATCCCTGCATATTTTACATCAATTAAATCATTCAGTAATCTATTGACTGGGAGTGGCAGCCGGGACCACATAACACCGGTTCTGAGAGATCTGCATTGGCTCCCAATACGTTTCCGAGCACAATTAAAAGTGTTGGCGCTGACCTTTAAAGCCCTAAACGGCCTCGGTCCTGTATACCTGAAGGAGCGTCTCCACCCCCATCATCCAGCCCGGACACTGAGGTCCAGCTCCAAGGGCCTTCTGGCAGTTCCCTCATTGCGAGAAGTAAGGTTACAGGGAACCAGACAGAGGGCCTTCTCGGTAGTGGCGCCCACCCTGTGGAACGCCCTCCCTTCAGATGTGAAGGAAATAAGTAGCTATCCTATTTTTAAAAGACATCTGAAACTTCAGGGAAGCTTTTAATATTTAACGCTGTATTGATTTTAATACTTGATTGGGAGCTGCCCAGAGTGGCTGGGGAATCTCAGCCAGATGGGCGGGGTATAAATAATAAATTATTATTATTATTATTATTATTATTACGTCCATCAAAACTTATTCACAGTGTTGAATTGATCTTAATACTACCAGCGTTTTTAAATAAACACAATTTTCAGTAAACATTTTCCAATCTTCTTTAAACGTACATCCTTCTTGTTCTCTTATTCTATATGTTAAATCTGCAAGCTGAGCGTATTCCATCAGTTGCCATTTTTCTTTGGTTGGGACCTCACTCGTTTTCCATTTTGGGGCTAACAAAACACTGGTTGCAGTAGCAGCATGCATAAATAGTCTTTTTTGACACCTGGGAATTTCCCTCTGAATTATCCCCAACGAAAAGGACTCTGCTTTTTGGGGGAAAGGACTTTTAAAACATTTTTTTCAATTCATTAATTATCATTTCCCAATATTCTTTTACCCTTTTAGAAGCCCACCACATATGATAAAACGTACCCTCAGCCTCATCACATGCCCCTGGGACATTTTGAACACATGCTGCTCGTTTAAAATTAAACCAGAATTTGTTTTAAACTATGGTTTGATGTGATGTGCAAACCAGGCGTCTAGAAACTGCGAAACCTATGAATCAGAGGCCAGCAAAGTGCTTATATCGATCCACTACTAGGACAAAACAGGGAATAAGCTAAGGGAAGGGCTGGCATCCGTTGTGCCACTCCGTCCAAGAGTGAGGATAGTAAACTAAGTTGTAGACTCACCATGGCATCCATGAATGGGAAGGCTGCCAGATACAGGAAGGCCTTGCGTGTTTTGCTTCCCACCGATTCATCCACATGGTGCAACTTGTTAATTATGTAGTACCCCAAATCACTGTATGCTGCAAAAATAAATATAATCATTTTTTAAAAAAAAAAAAAAAATCACATACCTAATGCACCCAGGTCTGTTTTGGGTGGTTCAGGATAAAGAGGGAGAAAGGAGGAGCAAGGACTAACATCATCATCTTGATGGGCTGCTGTCATAAGCCAATTCAACGATGATTCTAGCAGGTGTACTTAAACCAACTTCCTTTAAATCACATCAGCTTCTTCTAGACTAAGGCTGAAATCCTAACCCCACTTACCGGAGAGTAACCCCCGCTAAATTCAACAGGGTTTAACAGTGCAATCCTTACAATATCTACTCAGAAGTAAGACAGCCTCCTGCGGCAAAATGGGTCCATGCATCTGGCTGTTAACCAGGTTTGAGCCCATCCAGGGACAGCTGTGAGCAGGATTCCTGCACTGCAAGGGGTTGGACTAGATGACCCTCTGGGTCCCTTCCAACTCCATAATTCTATGATTCTGTGTCATAACCTAGCAAAATTAAATGAGGTCGCATTAATGCTTTTGTTATACTTTACACTTCCCAACCCCTTTCAGCCTCTCTTAATCTAGTGTTCTCTCCCCCCCTCTCTCTCACACACACACTTATTAGAAACCTTGCTTGCTTCAGTCTGTACAAAAAAACATCACTCTTTCTCCACCCTCAGCTCCCAAATCTGGCCTCCCATCTAGCTCCAGGGTAATTAAAATCACCAAACTAGGATTAAAATGTACCTAACAAGCAGTAAGAGGGACACGGGTGGCGCTGTGGGTTAAGCCACAGAACCTAGGGCTTGCCGATCAGAAGTTCGGCGGTTCGAATCCCCGCGACGGGGTGAGCTCCCGTTGCTCGGTCCCAGCTCCTGCCCACCTAGCAGTTTGAAAGCACGTCAAGTGCAAGTAGATAAATAGGTACAGCTCCGGCGGGAAGATAAACAGCGTTTCCGTGCGCTGCTCTGGTTCGCCAGAAGCGGATTAGTCATGCTGGCCACATGACCTGGAAGCTGTACGCCGGCTTCCACAGCCAACAAAGCGAGATGAGCACCGCAACCCCAGAGTCGGCCACAACTGGACCTAATGGCCAGGGGTCCCTTTACCTTTACCTAACAAGCAATAGTCTGCAGGTCAATGTATTTTAATATGTTGCTATGCACTGGGAAATTTTAGAAGTATTTAATGGATACCAAAGCTCACATAAGCCCTGCATTATAATGTAGAAAGTTACCATAATATACTGTACACATTTTTAAAACACACACACACCTTTTCCTAGGAAACACTGGCAACTGCTGACGCAAGCACAAGGAGGATAAATTGTGACTCAGTCGGCGAGTCAGAAACCATTACCTGGGGTTGTTATGTTGCTATTTTAATTTGATTTTAATTAATTTTATAATGAATGTTTTTAGAATGTTGGATTATTTTTATTGTTGTTAGTCGCCCTGAGCCCAGCTTCGGCTGGGGAGGGCGGGATATAAATAAAATTTATTATTATTATTATTATTATTATTATTATTATTATTATTATTATTACTAGCACCCATGAATGTCTTCTAGGTGACTGCTTGCCAAGTTCCATCACAGACCCCTCCTACTCCTCTGGTGTTTTCCATGGATTACCCTGGGGCCAGCTCTCTTTCACTTTGTGCCATGAGGGAGACAGAGGCTGTCGCTTCTTGAATCCACTGCCATGCCTAGAGGACTTGGGGAAGTTAGGTAGCAGGAACTTTCTCTCGTTTTGTTTTGTTTTTGCTAGAATTTGCAAGCACAGCACACGAAAGTGAGCAAATTACTCATTTCGTGTTACGGGAGCGACAAGACGAATTGCACATCCCGGCAAAAATGAGAAGCAGCTCGCTCAGTCCTTCCCCAAATCCTCTGGAACTCAGGGGAGGGAAGGAATAGCTTACTTAAGTTGCAAAAGACCTCCAAAGTTGCAAAAGCGATTATCCCGATTTCCAAGAGCCTTCAAATGCTGCTGCACATGAGAGGCGGACAGCTCCTCTAAATTCTCTATATATGCCAAAAGACTTTTGGGAGCGAGCAATCAAATATAATGGTTGCCTAATACAGCCAACTAAAATCTATGGATGCCTGACCGTTGCAATATAAAACCATTAGCTGTGAATACTCCCTCTGAAGTATTTGAAAATAGCAGCTTTATGAGAGCAGACTTCATTTGTGAGCAGGAACGTTCTTATGTGTGGTATCCAGACAACAAATGGTTTGTGAGATTGGCCGCGAAAACCTCTTTTCCTTTTAGTATCTCAGACCACAGTGCGAAGTTGAGGCTCTCACTAAAGGATCAATTACGGAGTGACAAAATCAGAAGAGTACAAAAATATGGACTGGATGCTTCTGAGAAAATACAGTGTAAAGTCCAAGTGGATAAATCTACATGGTCTGAATAACCAACACACCTGGAGGAGGGGGACACACCTGGGTTTACTTTGTTACACCAGGTCAAAATCCTTCATTCTAAAACTGTCTCAAATTGTTTCAGTGGTGGGTCCAATTCACACGTTACTGCAGCATTATGGGTGTTGCTATTCTTATGCTGGTATTTTCACCATTATTTAATTATCACACTATTCCCATTCAACATCTGATCATCAAATCTAAGCAAAAGTCTTGGAAGTTTGTCAAGATTCATTTTGTTTGTAAAACGCATTTGTGAGCTGGAAGAAAAAGAAGTCCCAGCCTGAGACTTGGAGGGTTACATTTAATACCATTACATCATCAGAAGAAAGTCTTCCTTTCAGAGGCTATTATTATTTACTTTCAAAGACGTTATCAGGTAACTGAACATTGGCCAAATATACTGCCAGATCACAAGTGATTCTGGAGAGAGCCTGCATTTTCTAGCCACACTGTAAATAAACAGATGAAAACCTCTAAAATTGAAAGCTAGCACATCGCGGCTGCTCACAGCCTCAGGGCTTCAATAGCTAATGGTTCTTGAACTCATCTAATTTGAGGAAATATATTGTGTCCAGAGGCATGTTAGTGCCTCATTAAACTCACTGTAACTCTTGTAACTTTAAGGCTGCAGTGCCTTACTCCCACGTGCCTGGGAGTAAGTCCTACTGAACTCAGTAGGATTTACTTCTGAGCAGGCATATATAGGATTGCACTGTAAGGTACATTAATGCAAGACAGTGCGGTGTTCGGAGATGTGAAAAGTACCTACTGCTTTTCCCTGAGTTACTTAGCACCAATAATACACTCTACTGTGCCGTGCAGGGCCTTACGTTTGAGAACACTATCATTATGCAAAGACAAGGCTTACAGCGAGGGGAAAGTATTAGTATACTCATTTTAATCATAAGTTAAGTGGCTTGCATCATTCCGAAAAGAGGATAAAGACAGAGAATCCCATTGTGCACTACTTCATCTAGCCTGCAGTGAATTTATTTGTTTTAAACATTTCCATCCCACCTATTTTCTCTGAAGACAGCTAACAAGAAGTAACAAAAACAGAACATAATCCCTTAAAAGCCCCAATATATATTCAAATTAAGAGGCTAACAATATTCAACCTGTTCCAACAGACGCCGGCAGAACAAAAACAGCACAGCGTAGCTTTTATAACCAATGAAAATGACATAACTAAGCAAAGGCCTTTTTTAAAAGGCTAGGTCTTCAGTATCAGGGTTGTAAATTGAGCTGGGAGCCTTCACAGGTAGAGGAGTCTTCCCTGCTTAAAGCCATTCACCCTTGGACTTGTGGGGACTCTTACCTGGGTTCAAATGATGGACTGTATGAATCATAAGCACTTAAGAACAGCTCTGCTGCCCCAGGCCAGTGGCCCATCCAAGTCCACCATCTTGTTCTTACAGCATCCAACCAGATGCCATGGAAATCCTTCGTCCCAGCGGTAGGTGGGAGCAGGTGCAAATGTGGTCAGGGCAGATATAAAAGTGGAAAAAGCGTTGCACAGGAGGCTACGTTGAAGATCCGCAAAAAAACAGAGGTTTCGAGAAACACACCCACCCACCAACAAGACACAGTCCCCTGTAGCAAGGCTACCCTGGGGAATGTGGAACAGGGGAGCACATAACCTAGGGAAGACCCACAGAGAGGGCCTGGAGGGCAGGAATCAACCCCTAAACATAAGGTTCCCCACTCCTAGTCGAGGCACAGAAGTCTAGCCACAAAACGTCTCCCTGGTTCCTTCACGAAATATGCACATAAGCAGACCAGGTTTTAGGATGTAGAGGAGAAATGGATGAACCAGTCATATAAACACAAAAATAGTATTGTTCCCTCAGCAAATGGAATGAAGGCTTACCTATTAAGGTGTGGAACACAGCGGCCACAGCACCAGCTACAACCATACACAACACTGCTTTGGTTCTGTCTCTCTTGCTGTTGACAAAAACCAGCCCCACGTTCTTGAAGTCGCTCATTGGGCCCGTGAAGAACTTCATGAGGGAGTAGGCCAACCCATAGCTGGCCAGCATCTCCACAGCATCTTCCTTAACAGCTGCGATACCTCTGTTCAAGGCCTGAAGGGAAAGCAAAGCAAAGGAGATACAAAGGTTTAAGATGTGCCAAGCCAACTCCAGACAACAGAACGTGATAGCCCAAATTATTCTCTATCTTGCTAGGAAATCATGAACAGACCGCAACAAATCAGATCCAATACAGTAACTGGGATAAAGAGCTCTGTCGAAGGGGTTTGTTGAAAGAGGGATGTCTTCAGCAAGCACCGAGAAGATGACAGAAAAAGTGGGAGGGTGTTCCAAAGGACGGGGGCCACCACACTAAAGGCCTGATTTCAAAATGTTTCAAAACAGATGTCCAGACAGGATGGTATCTGTGAGATCCCCTCACCTGTGCAACACAGTGATTGGTTGACTATGTAGGGGATGAGATGATATTTTAAGGCATCCTGGTCCCAAGCTGTATAAGGCTTCATTCACCAATTCCATTGCCTTGAACCTAGCTGAGTAACTGATAAGACAGCCGGGGCAATTCTTTCAGTGCGGGTGTAACTGGTGGTGCTATTCTGCTCTGGTGAGCAATTGATTCCCAAATTTTCAGCTAGCTACAGCTTCTGGGTTAGCCTCAGGGGAGTCCCACACAGAGTGGGCTTTAGCTGTTGACATATATAGATTGCACTTTTGAAGGGATGTACATTCCCATGTGGCACTACTAAGATCTGACTAAAGCTAAATTAAGACCCAAACATTTGCACATACTAAATAACACCCAGATTCATGCTATCCTATCAAGTGGTCAACCTTGCTCTGTGGCAAAAGTCAAATGGCAAGAACCTTTTATTTGATTGTCCCCCCTTAACCATGCTTTGAACATTTTCCTGCTCAACAAAATCGATGAGGATTAATATAAGGCAGGTACACTGCATCTGTGTTGTGTATCGATTTCTATCTTGTGCTAATCTCCCCCCACATTTTAACTAATTGCTTTAATTGTTCAAATACATTAAACTTTGACTTCACCTCCAAAGGCGCATTCCTCCATTGTCTCCTGAGTCATGTTTTATTCTATTTTGTAAACGTAAAGCAAGGTTATAAAATAAATGATCATTTAATCATTCGGCCACTATGAGTTTTTCTTCCCAAGAAAGAAGTATTTAGGACTGTAAACCTATTTTCACTTGCTTCCAAGTCCTAGTGAACTCAAGGGGGCTTATTTCTAAGCCGATATGTATAGGGTTTCCTGCCATCTTAGCTGTTCGAAAGCACGTCAAAGCACAAGTAGATAAATAGGTACCACTCTGGTGGGAAGGTAAACGGCATTTCCGTGTGCTGCTCTGGTTTGCCAGAAGCGGCTTAGTCATGCTGGCCACATGACCCGGAAGCTGTCTGTGGACAAACGCCGACTCCCTCGGCCTAAAGAGCGATATGAGCGTGCAACCCCAGAGTCGGTCACGACTGGACCTAATGGTCAGGGGTCCCTTTACCTTTATGTATAGGGTTGCACCGTGACAGCACTTTTTCTGCTCTGTGTCCTAACATTCCTCTTGACATTTACTAACAAAGCTGTGTATCTTTCTACGCTCACTTTACCGGGACATGTATTCCCATCCTGTCAGCAATTTGATTCCGTGTCAAAGCATACACGCAGAGAAAGGGGATTTTATCACCAACAGGATGGCAGCCTGACACTGTATCCGAGATAGTCCTTTCAGTTTCCAATTGCCTAAATAGAAGAATGATTTAAGAAGTCTACAGTGGAGAGCATCTCAGGAAAATTACCATCTAATAACTATGTTTTTGCCAACAGCCACAGGAGCAGTGTCACCGTACAGAGAAGGAGAAAACCCATGATGTAATGGAAGAAAGAAGCAAGCGCAATTTGGCGGCGACTGTACAAAGGAGCACTCCAGCAGAGACAGCGCTTCTTTCACCTCTGGCTGCCCTGATTTTCCAAAAAAAGTTAGCCTGCAAGCTGAAGGCATGCAGCAACTTCCAAGAAGGCAGGGGAAAGTCAGAGTATCTTTTCTACTAGGAAGCACTAAAAAGTACCGTATTTTTCCGTGTATAAGACGAGGGTTTTTTGACCCCAAAACGAGGTTATAAATTTTAGGTCGTCTTATACACGGGTAGTGCCACGGTGGGACGGGTGAATGGTTTTAGCCACAAGCCGGAGATTGTCAGCAGTGATTGGGCAGGTGATTGGTGGCTGCGGCAAGGGCTGCTGTCTATTGGCTGCCGCTGCGGTAATCGGGCGGGCGTTTCGCAGCTGATGGCGGCGAGCGAGCAGACGATATGTGGTCATGTTGATGCAAGCGATTGTGTGTGGCGGTTCACTGGGTGAGTGATTTTTGCCACCACCACCCCCCCCAAAAAAATAGGTCAACAACTCTGGGCAATCTCCCCCACCAAAAAAAAGCTTAACATGTCTTGGCAATCTCCCCCAATTTTCTAAATTCAGAGTCCCCAAAAATAGGGGGCGTGGTACACACAGAAAAATACAGTACTTACAGAAAAGGTATGGGGGGTAGGGAGATATGACTGAGGTTCAGAAAATTACGAGTGGTGGGTACAATTCCCCTTCCCCCAAGAGGTACACATTTAAACAGACTGGCCCAGGTATAGACAAATCTATCTATTTTGAGTGTGGGTCCATTTTATTCATAAATGTGCTCTATCCAAGTGTCTTTATTAATCAGTGGGCATTTTTTTCCCTCCAAAAGAATTCCTACCTAAATTCTTATTTAAAGACATATTTTATCTCCATGTATGCATTTCAAAAGCATCTCATCCTAAAATATGCATTTTAACACTTTTTGTTACTTTTCTGAGCCGACAACTGTATTACCAAATTTGGAGAAACATAAACCTTGAAGGGTAATTATGTTCTGATGAGTCTGGGAGGTGTATCAAGTCAATTTGCAAGTGAAGTCATATTCCTTGAGCGTCCATGGACAGGTGATAGGAATTGAGTCACTCTGCAAAAAAAAACCTAACTTATGGAATTCACTGCTACAGCAGGTGTCAATGGGCCACTAGCATAAATGGATTTAAAAATGGTCGCTAGCCACGTTGGCTAAACAGAACCACCCTGTTCAGAGGCAGCTTACAAGCCTTGCTTAAAAGCTCCCCAGAATTATCTGTGTGACTGCAGAGAATCAATGTACTGCTATAGATGAATCCTTGGTCTGGTCTGCCAGAGCTCTTCTTTTGCTAAGAACTCATAGTGAGAGAACGTCTCACTCCAGTTGTTCCACTAAGAAGGAATAGCTGACGGGTTGAATCACTGGAGAGCTGGCACTGTAAAAACAATGACATCATGCCAAGGGTGGCATCCCCATGGATGACCACTGAAAAAAAGAGGGGGAGGGAAGGGGTGGAAAGCTCTTCTGTGAAGGTTGGTTGTCAAGCTTAATTAACTCCCTCCAGACAAACCAAATGTTTTGACTAATTGGCTCAGCCTTTCTCTTTTTTAAGGCCAAAGAAGAAGAGCTAATAAATCCGGGTGCTCAAACGTTCACTGCTATGCTTTCAGGCTATAAAAATCAGTGGCAGTATCAGAAACTCAAATATGTAATCTAGGCGCCAAATGGCTCCTTAAACCATGGTTACAGTTGCCAAAACGGAATGTCTAGTTGCTACCGTATTTTTCGCTCTATAAGACGCACCAGACCACAAGACGCACCTAGTTTTTGGAGGAGGAAAACAAGAAAAAAATATATTCTGAACCTCAGAAGCCAGAACACCAAGAGGGATCGCTGCGCAGTGAAAGCGGCAATCCCTCTTGCTGTTCTGGCTTCTGTGAAAGCTGCGCAACCTGCATTCACTCCATAAGACGCACACACATTTCCCCTTACTTTTTAGGAAGGAAAAGTGAGTCTTATAGAGCAAAAAATACGGTATTTTCTGGCAAGATGGCTCTAAAGTTTTATTTTTCAAATGATGGACTGACTGTGATTGATTCTCAGTTAAAAATCTGGCTAGTTCAGAGGACAACCTTGAGCTAGGTTACGAGCTTTGAGAAGTTAAAGAGGAAAGGTTCGGCCTGTTTTTACCTCTTTTTCTTATTGGTAATACGGACCATTCATAACGCAAAGATAGCCTTCACAACAGTTCAGTGCTCCTGCTCAGGCCGCATGGAAAAAGCATTTGGGTTCCTGAAATTCATTCTGATTGCGTCGCAAGTGGCTGATAGCCAGGTGCTAAATGAGCACCTGGCACCTGGCTAATTTTGAAGACTGATTTGGTGCTCCCCAAATTTTTGATACCTGGGCAGGTATCATCCTAAGTAACTCTTACACTCAAAAATACACATACAATGGACGCCAGGGTTGCGAACGTGATCCATGCAGGAGGTACGTTTGCAATCCGGAGCATTTGCAACCCTCAGCGCCGCGTCTGCGCACACGCGGGTCGCGATTCAGCGCATGCACAAAGCACGATTTAGTGCTTCTGCGCATGTGCGAGCGTCGAAACTCGGAAGTAACCCGTTCCAGTACTTCCGGGTTTGGCGTGGTGTGCAACCCGAAAACGCGCAACCTGAAGCGTCTGTAACCCGAGGTATGACTGTACAAGCAGAACCCTCACCAAAAAATACACAATTAATGTGCTTTGTAGCTCCATAATACCCTGGTTGAATGTTGCTTCTGGCGTCCCACCTTCCTCTTTTCTGTATTCAGTCAGTTTTCCAGGTAGGACCATGGTTTAATCAGGGCCCAGATCAGAGCAAGCAGGACTAGTTAGATGCTGGTTAAAACCTGCCCCACCTCCAGAAGCCCGGAAGTACTAGAGCAATTGGATGCAACAAAATGAATGACAGCAGTAAAAGAAAATTCAACCCTGAGCAATCACTGTGGGTCAAAGTGACTTCTATGCTGTCGCCAAGACTGCACAGCAAAACAGTACATTCTCAACACCTTTGGCAAATATAAGTTGTCTCCAAAAATACACAAAAAAAGAAAAAAGGCTGATGAAATGACAGAGAGACAATTGCAGAAGCAAAGAAGCAAAACCAAGAGTTTGGGCACACATACAGAAACCCATCTCCCAAATGTCTCAGATGATGG